AGTTAAGTTGAGCTTTAACGAATCAAATAATCACTGGAGATGAAAAAATTGAGCGGCAACAATAGAAATAGCCGAGTTTACAATTGGTTCGGAAATCAGTGGTGACACTTAAGGCACTCATGAGTTCTAGCATCAGACACTTAATGCAGCGTTAACCAGTTCTCACTTTTCTGCGGCCATCGCTCTTCAAAAGTAGTTAGTTTCGGCCAAAGGAAATAAGTAATGAAATGTTACAACTCTAGTAAGTAGACAGCTGTGTAGTTAAAAGTTAGCTACAAACTAGCTTCATTTCCTGCAGGGTTGATTGTGGTACAGTTCGTGCTTCCATCTCCTTCTGTACTCATTGCCCAGGCGTACAGGGCAATAGACATAAGAGTACTCTCGAAAGCACCCATAGCCTTCTCATCTTTGTTCGAAATTTAACTTCTTGAGGTTTTTGTAGGGCGTGTCGGCGAAAGATGGTTCTACTTTTCAATTGCTTAGGAAGCCCCAAGTAACATCTGATATTATTCGCAGTATTTATGCTGGATTCTAGGATGACTCCACTCACTACTCCAAAGTTACATATATCTCCCAACAGTGGCATGTACCACAATACGCGAAGACTGTTTGTGTCTGCTGTTGAGACAACGAAGTCAATGTCATCCGCGTACCCCCTCCTGACGTTTTTTCCTATCTATGATATCACTGCCACACATTAGACTAAAGAAGTCACACGAAGATGCGTCGCCTTGTCTAAAACCATAGTTGATCTCGGACGACTCGAGGAAGTCCTTCCTAATTTGGATGGAGCTAAAGGTTTTGCAGAGATTCCAAACTTAGACGAGGCATCGTATAGGCAACTGCTCTTTGTGGTATCAAAATCGGCTTTAAAATGGACGAAAGGGTGGTGTGTGTCTATTTGTTTGCCTTAGGTATTTTCAAGTATTTGACACGCTGGGAAAATCGGCATAATGGTCAATTGCCAGGACTTCGCGCGGGACAGAGTTGTGGTCCGAATTTCTCGTGAATTCCGGAAACGGGGTTCAAAGGAGAAGGCAATTCTTTGGGACAATCAACTACCTGCACTCGGACGCCTTTGGCTGTTGGATAAGTGTAGGGCGTTCCATAGATGCCCATAGATATCCGTATGATGTAAAGTTGAGTATTTAGGCAGGACTAGGGGTCTCTTATATGCCAACTGAAGCCAATTGGAAATGCCACGTCCTTCTCCACCTGGCCTTTCCAACGCAGCGGAGGCCTTCCCTGTTCCTCTATCCATTCGTGCGTGTCCTATTAGAAAAAACATGTTTTCAGTCCGCATTCCATTTAATCGTGATCCGAAATGATCGGCAATTATGGCTCTAAAGCGCTCACTGCTGACGGTAATGTCGTTCTCGCCATTTTAGTTTTCAAATTTGTAAATACCACCGGTTCATAAAGCACATCAAACATTTTATTTATGTGTCTCTTAAAACTCTCGTGGACTCTCTTTACTCCAAATGCGGCAATTTTGCTTAGTATTCAGGGGATCAAAAATTTGACTCACCACTGAACAGCAAATTGCGATTGAACAGTGGATAGACTTTTCTTGATATGTGCCCCACAGAACTTACGGCGTAAACGATGGTCATGCGGGTTTAATTTCTGACTGATTTTTTTTTTTAAGGTTGTAGGTCGGGAACATTATGTAAAATTTTCCAAGAAGTGGCGTTCGTCTATTTATGATGAAATTGCAAACTAAACTGAGCACAATTCATCTCACCAATTTTTGTTCGTTTAGGCGTTATGGAAAAGTAGAAATTCTAAAAAACACCCTTTAATTAAAATTGGTGTCAATTTTCCACAGAGTACCACAGCACGGGTATTTACTGCATTTATCGTTACACCACGAATATGTGTGTAAATTACGAAGGCATTACATGCGCCAGAAAATTATTGTTTGAGTGTAATTGTTTACAGATGCTAATTTGGCAATTAATTTTATCACCAACAGAACGGGCGTACAACAAAAACAAAGCTTAATTATCATTATAATTTATTTAAATTTTTTGCAAAACCCTTCAATTTGCTGTGCCAAAGAGTGTGGAGGATAATGAATAAAAAAAAAAAAAAACAGAAAGAAGTAAATAAGATTATTAAAAGGCAATTCTTTCTTTTGCCAATACAAAAAAAAATCAGGCCAATGCTATTAATCAGGAACCAAAGAAATGAAACTGGCTGCGACGCTAGAAATTCCCCGGCGACAAAAATAAACCAGCGTCAAACCAATAATTATATACGCACCCACCACACCGGCTAGGCGGGTGTTACCATCATAAAGTCAGCATTAAAATGAAACGTCATCACAGTTTTAAGCAGCGTCAAGCGCCAAAGCGTGAAGTTACTCTTCCGCAGACTCCGCGCGCAGCTAGTAGACTTTTCGATTAACTGACCACCCGCTTGACGGCTCGCAGCTCGCATACCTGTGCCAGCCAGCCAGGCAGCTAGTCAACCGTGATTTCGCACGCTACTTGAAATAGCTAAATATATGTATATGTATTCACACTGTGGACCACTATGTACACTTGTGCACACTATAATAACATTGATGTGGCGTCGATCGTTTTCAGTTTGTTTGTACAAGCTGGACACAGCAGCTGTAGCAGCCACAGTTAGTCGTTGAGCGAGTGGCATTCAAGCCGGTAGCGCGCATTACTTGCCAGTTCGGTTTCGGCAAAGTCCAAAAAATAAATTTTGCAAAAGAATAGTCTTAAAAAAAAAAATCACCAACATAGACGAACGCGCGCCCGAGACAGTTGCGTTATACTCGTACTACAACTGTAATCACACGAAATACGTTCGGTCAGTTACTCGTCTCTGCTCGTCTCATTGTCGTAATTGCTTTATTGGCCGCTCGGTAGAGGGCGCGCGCATTCGTGTCCAGCTGGAATTCGTCTATTCATAGCGATTTGTGTAGTAGCTTCGTGTAAATTCCACGCTTTGAGGCATAAACCGCATTCGGCTCTCGACGCGTTCGCCGTATTTCCGAGCGAGCGAGCGAGCGCTTGAAAGGAAGTGTGTGCGCGCCATACACCCCCACACCACACTCCCACCTACACACTGTTGCAGGCTTACTAATACATACATACATAAGTAAATGCTGTACGAATACATACTCGCATCAATGTAAAGCCCTTGGCGTGGAAAAATTTCTCGTTGAATTTGCAATGCGATTTGAAAATTTACACACAACAAACTGGGGGCCTGCGTGGATCTGGCTACGTAAAGTGTAGAGTTTTCTTTAAAAATCATATATTTTTTAGTTGCTCATTTCATGCAAATTCATTTGTAGTTAACTACATACATACATATATGTATCTACATACTAAATTCACATCAAAAGCAAACGCTTCAACTCAATTAAGTAGTGTATAGTTAACGCGCTAATAAAAGAGTACTCTTTATACTATTTCGTCGCTAATAAATCAAAATAGCGAGAATTTCAAGGCTTTGAATTTAATTTGGGTTTAACGTAGCGTCGGCCGGCAGCAGCAGCAAAGTGCCAAAGAAATTTGCATTAAAATAGCAGAAAACGAGAAATGGACAAAAAGTAGTGATTGATTAACATGTACGCGTTGGAAATTTTTCTTCTTTATGTTTTTTCTGCTTTAGTGTTGTGGTGTTGGAGGTTAAGTTTAAACTCACTTAATGTATTTGTGTGTGTATGTGCGTGTATTAAATTAAATTAATATACATATTTGTAAGTGCAATTTGAAGATATTTGCTAATTTAGTTTTTGCAAGCAAACATACTAGACATACATATTTGCAAGAAAAGTTAAAGCATATTTAAGAAAATAATATATAAAAAATAATAATAATTAAAAAAAAAAATTCCAAAAAAATTACAATATAAAAAAATACCAAAACAAAAATCAAAAAATTTAAATAAAAATACTAGAACTCATATTTGCAAGAAAAGTAAAAGTATGCAAAAAAAATTAAAATTTTTTAAAATATAAAAAAATTAAAAACAAAAAATCAAAAAATTTAAACAAAAATACTAGAACTCATATTTACAAAAAAAAAAATATTCAATTTAAAAATGAAAAAAAAATAAAAAAAAAAAAAATAAAAAATAACAAGTAATTTTTACGCAAAACACACAACCGGCTTCAATGTTCATCTAAATATTTAGCAGTTCTGTTCATGCCTTCATGATACAATGGTCGGAACTAAACCAAATTAGTATGGGACTACGCTTAGGTACAACCTTACCGATAAAAAAAAAAATAATAATTATCGAAAACTATTCACGTAGTCCAAAGTTATCTGGTAGCATACTTAAAAAAAAATATTCTAATGAAATCATAACCTTCCTCCTTTTTCCTAAAATCGGTTTAAAATTAATTAAAATAAGTCAAGTTTTTCAAATTTTACAGTGCAAAAAATCCGAAAATAATATTTTTTTTTATATATATTTTTAAAACTTTCAATGCAAAATCGAGTCGATAAAATTCGTCCTTAATGAAAAGCGTTTGTATTCTTTTTGGACTTCTCGAATTTGTTGTGATTTCTTTAAAATCCGCATTTTTTAAATTTTCTTACATTCTATATCAAAATTCAACTTTTCATAACAATTAAACTTTGCAACAAGCACCTCGCTCTAAGCTAGTGAATCGTAATAAGCTACTATGTATTAAAAAAAAAAGATTAAGTGTAGAAAAAATAAATCTGTCTGCTGCTGCTTAAAAAAAATTGGTAATGGAAACAAAGTGGCAAAAAAAAAATGGAAAAAAATGTGAAAAATGCCTTAACTAATTGGATAACTACATATCGCAGACGAACTTCAAAAGTGACACAACTCAAAATTTGGCATTTTTTTGAAATTATGCACTCAATATGTACACAGAGCCTTTATTTACCTTTCAGCAAAAGCT